TCAAATACAATGCTCTTGCTTTTGTCTGCTCTTGTAGCTAGGATTACACCAAATTTTTAGTTTGTTTGATTGCTGCAATCATTCTTTGCTTATCATGTTTCAACTATTGAAAAATGCAATGCTGAATACTAAAACACTACAAAAAACTTTAAAAATTGCATTAACCACTTTAATCTCTAATGTTTCCAGCCATATTTAACTGACCTTCTTCAAGATAAACTTACAAAACAAATTGCAGTTGCATTTGAATACAATGAAAAATTTAAAACATTCCACAGAATAAACAATTTAAATCTTAGCACTGGACCTTATAAACAAAACACACTCAAAACACCTTGTAAATGTGCAGCCATATTTATTAAATTTGAATGTTTTCAGTCATATTTAATGACCTTTATCAAGAATAAATGGAAAAAATCGAACTCCTAGAAAATTTGTGTTAAAGATAAATGTGTTTTGGAACGTTTTTAAAAGATATTCTAATGAAATTACGTGTGTCATCTCTACAACAGGCTAATATTAAATAAACACAATAAATATTAGCACGTTAAAAAATAATATGATGTTCAAGATAAACAAAAAAAAAATATAAAATAACAATGCAAACAAATAAAAAGCAAAAAATAACGAAATGAGTTGGGCAAATATATTAAACTAAAGAATTCTGCCCTTAAGTATGTAGCCGCTTCGCTACCATTCTTGATGCTTTATCATCAAGCTGCCGATACTTTACTTGCTTCACTGAAGTTGATAGATTGCCCCTTTTGACTGGTTTTGCAGATATGCCAAGCTTCTGCATATCGGAGGTACTTTTTGTTGTGAACTACTTGTATCAATCTTGCGTGGTCCCATTCAGCTTTGACTTCTTGGGGTCTGCTAAGACATAAGTAGCCAGCACTGTGCAAGGCTGTTCGCTTCTTATGGCTGGTGTTCCGACAGCTTTTTCTTGATTGATCTTCTGGTGGCTCTGATACAAAACATCTTATTCTGCTGCCGTGTGTCTGTAATAGGGATTCTATAAACTCCTGGAAGAGAGTTCTTGTCCATAGCATCTTTGTCCACCCTTAGCAATTGGTAGATAGTTGGATTCCTTTTCTATATTATTCTTTTGTTCATAGCAGCTAATATACATCTATAGATGTTGCTCAGCGAGGCCCTATATTCCATCAGTGTGAACTCCTCTGTATTTTGTAAATTTCGCACCTTGTGGCGTTTCTTAACTTGGGTAGTAATGGCTTTAATATTGACCCCATACTTCTTAGATAGTTTATTGACATAATTCAGCTCTTAGTTTCTGTCTTGGGTACTGCTACAATGTGAGTGTGCTCGTGCAATGAGCACTTGGAATGCTGTGAGTTTATAAGTTAGTGGGTCGTGCGAATTCCATGGGATAAATATCGGGTTGTAAGTAGACTTCCTGTAGACTTTAGTAAGAAAATCTCCTTTGCTGTCAAGTTGTATAGATAAATCCAGAAAATGTATAAGCGTATCACTTTCTTGCTTGAGGCCAAACTTGTCGTTGATGTCCTTTATAAATTGCTGCAAGTTGAGTTTTACTTTCCATAAAATAACCACATCATCGACATACCATGCGTAAATTAGAATTTGTGTATCATAATTTGGCATAAATATATTCTCTAGCGTTCTTAAAACCATTTCACATAAAGTACCTGCCACCGAGCTTCCCATGGCTACACCCTTCTGTTGCATGTATGTGATGCCTTTAAAGTTAAATATAGATGAAAAAGTAGTTAGATGCATCATCTCTAATATCTGCTTTCTCTTCCTTTCTGGAGACTTGATCTTGCTTAAAAGGAAATCCCATAAATGGTGAAAACATGGTTCCAGTTTGATGGAAGGGTACAGTGCCTTGAAATCTAATACAGTCATATATTTAACTTCTTGCGATTTCATATTTGCCATTTTATGGAGAAGTTCCAAAGGTTGTTTTATGCTGTATTGATGCGGGGGTGAGTGCGAATGAACCCATTTACAAACCTTTCTAATAATATTGTGGGTGCACATCCTTTATCAACCACAGGCCTTAAGGTTTTATCATTTTTATGAATTTTGGCAAATCCAAATAGCCTAGGTACCGACTGAGAGTGGACTATTATTTTCGTCAAACCCAGTTCTTTAGCCAGCAGTCTGTTTGCAAACCTCTCAACTCTTGCTTGTAGTCTCTCTAGCACAGATGGGTGCACAGTAATACATTGTGTATCATTTATGTACTTTAACAGAAGGTCGTTGTAAGTGCTTCTTTTCATGATTACTAACATGCTAATATTTATTATGTTTATTTAATGTTAGCCTGTTGTAGAGATTGTGCACGTAATTTCATTAGAATATCTTTTAAAAACGTTCCAAAACGCATTTATCATTAATACAAATTTTCTAAGTGTTTGATTTTTTCTGTTTATTCTTGATAAAGGTCATTAAATATGACTGAAAACATTCAAATTTAATAAATACAGCTACATATTTACAAGGTGTTTTGTTGATATGATATGCAGTCTACGATGAGTTCTAATTGGACCTTATAAGTTACAAAATATAATACATAAACTCAAAAACAAGGTGCACAAAAATTCAAAAATAAACAAAAATTTAAATATATTAAAATATACATGAATAACGTAAGAATGATAATCCAAAAAATAAAAAATAAACTAATAATAATATTTCTTCTGATGATCTTTCTTAAAGAAATCTGACATAATCAAATTACTAAAGACTGGTAGTCTGGAGGTTGAATCAGGAAAAATCTAAAATATCATTATCATGTGGTTCATTATAACAAGATTCTAACATATAAAATGCAATTTAGCTAAAACTGTCTACATCAGGATCTAAAAGATCTGACAATTTCACAACATAACTTTATCTACATCCTCCAAATTCAAAACATTTGCTGAACAGAAAGTGATTCATACAGTTTTCTATGCATTTGCAAATCTATAATACTGTAATTGAAATTTTGTAAATAATAACAAACAAAATTGATATAATGATAGTTGCAAATTTTCAGTTATATTTGTAACTATTTTAGAGCGTCAATTATCAACCGAAATGTCGGTTAACCGAAAGCATTCCAGTCAGACTGTGTCATGCTGAATCGAATGTTTTTGATATTAGATTAACTTCTAAAGTATAATTTTTTTATTTTTTTATTTTTCAATATAATCTATTTATTTTGTTTGTACAAAATAAAAAAATAATTTTTAACAATACAATAGCCACGATTATTATTATAAAAATTTTCGTTAGGCTTAACATCAACGAAAATTCAATGCAAAGCAACATGCAACAGAGAAAAATTTAAACATATGATATATTAATATACTATATTAATAATGTATTTTTTCGTACATAATCAGTTATCCGAAAAATCGATTTTCCGAACAACCCCAGTCCATAATTGATTCGGATAATCAACACATTACTGTATATTTATCACACAATATGCTTGGGATAATTACTAAAGCTTATTGTATTCATTGTTTATATTAAAAAAAATTTTAATTTCATTAATTTATTAAATTATATGTGAAAATAATGATAAAAATAAACTGCAGTAAGTTTTATTAACTTCATGTCAAAGGGTCAACATAAACTTAGTCATTACTATTATAAACAACATAGAAAGCTAATAAGTCTTTATTGATGATCCTGAAGAAACTGATCTTTAAAAAATTGTAATGCACTTATAGATTTATAATTAGTAATAACTTAAAAACAATATAAATTTTTATTCTAAAAAATTATATAAATAATTGTGTAATTCTATAATTAAAACTGGTTTGTTCCAAATATTTATAAAATTATGCAGTTATTTACCTCTTAGATTTCTAGAACAAGTACACTTATACAATTTTTTGCAACACTTACATGTTATTAGTGAGCATGATTGAAAGATTACACTCAAATTTGCTTATTTGATTCATTTAATTTTTCTTCTTTTTATAGAAGGCTAATGAATAAATGTTATTAATTTTATAGTTATTTACCTTCATTTTTTATTTTTTATTGTTTAGTTTTTATGACTCATGTTATGTATTTTTATCACTGCTGTTTTATTATTATTATATTAATTACTTAACATTTTAAATTCTATTTTTAGAAATTTTCTATTTTATAAGATTTTTTAAAAATATGGTCTATTTTGTAAATATTCTATTTTTAGTTATACATAAATATTATACGAACACTGAAGATAGTTCAAATATAGTAGACCCCACTATAAAACGGGTTCATATGATACAGATTCATATATAACGGCGAAAAAATTGTGATCGTATTCGTATAAACACGCTAAAAGAGACTCTCATAATATGGTAAAACGTCATTGCCGACTCGTGTCATGATAGGATTGGTTGAATCTAGACCAATAGCGGATATTGCACAAACCATTGAGTTTAAACGAGCAGCGGACCTACTAAAAACCATTTATTATTTAACGGCCATAAAAATTCTATTTTTATTAATGATGTCTCCAAAGTTCAGCGAATTTTTTGCAGAAAAATAATTTATCAGAAAACATGCACCCACCGTTTGATGCACCGCTCCACGACGAAAACAAGCTTAAGCAATGGCATCGTCTAACGGTAAGTAATCCTACAATTTTTTGTTTATAGCATAGTTTATATGGATTATTCCCAAAAAATTATACGTGTTTTGGAAATGTTGAGTCAAATTAGTCTAGAATCAATTAATTTTACAGAAGAAAACCTTTCAAACAGCTATAGTCCGTAAACTGCATACGTGCCGGGCTGTGATTGGCCCATGTATTTAAGGACTCATAGAACATGAACTTCATAAAACACGGAACATATCTACCATGTTATAGGGGTATCTACTGTATGTTTCAAAATAAAAATCATTTTGGTATTCTTTTAATCAAGCAACTTTTGATTATCAAATCATTATTATTAAATCAATGCTTAGCACTATTTTACTGTTTTTTTACACTATAGAAATAATCAAATTTAAAATGAACCTACCACGCCAGTATTTTCATTAACACCTGTCATTCTGATCCTTGAAATAAATCTGACACTTGGTGGTTCATCTGGATATTGTGGTCCACATTCAATTCTTAAACTATAAATCCTATTTTCATAAGGTGTCTGAAAGATATAAAGAATTATTATTATTATAATCTACTCCAGGAATCAAATTTATATTTAAAATTTACCATTTTTTTTATACTAGTTTTATGCTGAACAACAATTAATACATTTCATTTTAATACATTAAAGATGTCAATAGTTTCTAGAATTTAACTCGTAGAAGTAAATTTCAGCTTATGAAAACAAACTTAAATAATTTTATATTTTACTAGGGAGCTTTACCCCCACTTGCTTTGCTCATTCATTCAAACATTTTCTGATGATTCATCAATTCCCAGTGCTGTTATTTTTATTTCTTTTCTGTGATGAGAAAAAGTGTTATAACAATTAAATAATCACAGTTAAATATAACTAATTTGTGGTTTTACATGATGTTAACTAAACTTTGTAATTTCTACAGTTTTTACCATAATTACAGAATAAAAATAGTAGGAATAAAAAATACAGTAGAGCGTCGATTTTCCGAATCAATTGGGAACTGGGGTTGTCCGGATAACTGATTTACGTACGAAAAAATAGTTTAACGTAACCGATGTCGAAATTTTTATCCGTTGTGTGTCACTTCGCGCTGAATTTTCGTCGATGTTAAGCCTAACAAAGACTATTGTATTGTTAAAAATTATTTTTTTATTTTGTACAAACAAAATAAATATATTGAAAAATATAAAAATAATAAAAAATTATACTTCAGATGTTAATTTAGTATCAAAAACGTAAAATATTTGAGTAGCCCAAGACATAGCCAAAGATTGAAGCGCCACAGCACTGGCGAAAATTTAAATTTTCCGACTGGAATTCTTTCGGATGGTTGACTTTCGGAAAATCGACGCTCTACTGTACATTAATTTTAAAAATGCAGAAGTGGTTTCTAATGCATGAAAAATCATTGTAGTAGTTTCTTGTATTACACTTTAAAATATTTTTATACAGGTAGCCCTCAGTTTACGCCACAGTTCCGTTCCTACAAAAGCCAGCGCAAATCGAATCGGCGTAAAACGAACCCTTATTTACAGTGAGGTATAGGGTTAGGTTCTACATAAGTGAAAAATAAGCTAATAATTTTGTTTATTAATACAATATAATACAAAATACATATAAATTTAATTTTTAAAATGTATTTTAACATAGAATAAAGTAAAATGTTTTTATTTAAAAATTTTTGTTTTCGAATTTCTTACATCTTTCGGAAAAAAGTATCCATCTTTAATTGTTTATATTTTTGATTTCTTTCATTAAGAATTTCGGAATATGGTTGAATATGATGCTCTTTTTTACATTTGCACTTTGCTCCCAACATTGTCTAACTCAAAAACTTCGTCAAACTTTCCTTAGTTGAAAGGATACGTTAACCCGACGTAGAGCTACGGACGAGCGAAGACACTGATTGGTCGACCACCGGTCGCCATAGCGCATATATAAGGTCAGTTTGAGCGGGAAAATTCAAGGTGGCTAAGGAGAGATAAATATCGTCTGGCCAACGAGAAGTAGATTTGTCTCACTAATGATAATTTGTGATTGCTGGAAGTGCTATTGCATCGTAAGGTGTTTTCCTGAATGAACTGATACAGGATAGATTCATTGGCGCTATGGATTCGGACGCCATTTATTGGACTATTAAGTTTAATATCTTGACTTGTGGGTATCTAAATGTTTAGTATTTTAATATTAATTTAATGCAAATGTATACATACCTAAAAATATTAAACAGAAAAAATAAATATATTCAATAAAAATCTTTGTTTTAACAAATGTACAATGCCGCGGCTCGGTAAATAAGTCAACACTGAAATGAAAATCAGTCTAGCATAGGGAAAATCGGGGAATTACACCTCAAAACGGCAAATTGCACAGCAGCGTTATTGTGAATCGGCGTAAACCGAGGGCTACCTGTATTTTATTTATAAAACTTTGTAACTTTATTGTAGTAATGAGAGAGTTTACCCAAAACAACTCTCATTGGTAAAGTTGCAAGATTATAAGTGTAAATAATAAATGCATTATTTCAATATGTATTTTTCAAGGATCATTTTTAAAGTAAGAATCATTTCAATATATTAACAATGCAAGTTAATGCTTTGGATGGCCATATGGTAGGAAATGTGTTTTAACAAATCTGTGATCTAGTCAGTTAGCTTCAAGCTCTTCAGAGGTAATTTCTTAGTAACATTTCATTACTAATGTCAATCACCAATCCCATTGATTATCAGGTGCAATTGGTGATTTGTTTTTTAAATGCAAAAAATATTTGCCTGGCTAAAATTCATTGACAGCTAATCAAAGCATAGAGGAAGGGTATAATGAACAAGGCAAATGTGTGAAAATGGTGTTGGTTATTCAATGAAAGGAGAACAAGTATGCATGATAAAGAATGATTCAGACATCCATCTGTCATAACCAAAGAACTGAAAACTACTGATGATGCACACATATGACAGAACAAAATATTAACAATTGATGAGCTTCATAAAGCTTTCCCTAATGTTTCTCATTCTGTTGTTTATGAAACTGTCAGTGAACATCTTCAATACAAGAACACTTGAGTGAGGTGTGTCTTAAGAATGTTGACATCAGAACACAAACAAAAGAGAACGGCTGCTTCTTGGGCATTTCTTGATCATTACCACATGGAAGGGGATGAATTCTCAATCATATAGTGACAAGAGTTGAGATACAGATATCTCACTATACATCTGAGACTAAGTGACAGTCTCAGTCTCTTGAATGAGACCACTCACATTCTCCAACCAAACTCAAAAAGTTCAAACAGGCACTTTCAATCACAAAAGTCATGCCTGCAGTTTTATGAAACCAGAGAGGCATTCTGATTATTTGCCTTGAGGAGAAACCATCAATGTGGAAAGTACAGTAAAACCTTTAAAAAGTTATGGTGTGAGGTAAAGAACCATTGGCATAACCCATTATAATGCATGTCCTCACACTGCTCAAAACAATTGCAAAAGTTTCAGTGGAAGGTGTTGAACCAGCCACTGTATAGTCAGGACCAGGCACCTTCTCACTTTCATCTTTTCCTGATATTAAAGAAAGTTTCATGTAGAAAACATTTGCAAATCCATGACAACACCAATGAGACGAGACTGTCACCAAATGGTTCAAAGAATAGGCATTAGAATTCTTCAACAAGGAAATTGTCAAGCTCATCTCCCAATATCAAAAATGCTTGGATGTCAATGGGGATTATGTTAAAAAATAGTTTTAAGCTATTTAAAAATGTAAAAATATACACTATAAAAAAATCTTCCAAGTCTTCTAAATGTCCATTCACAAGCACTGGAACACAATCAACACTGTCAGAGTTGACCTTCTTTTGTAGTCACTCTGCACCTATACTTATGTAAATTGTTCAAAAGTTCCTGCGATGTTGGATATTTTCAAATTTTCAGATAGGTGGGAAAGAGCCTATAAAAAGTAAACTTTGCCAGTGTTTATTGTGTTCCAGTGATTGTGAATGGATAAACATACATTCACAATCACTGGAACACAATAAAAGAACACTTCAAAGGATATTTTTTGTGTAAATCTTCAATATTGCATATTTTTACATTTTTAAATACATATTTTAACATGAATTTTTTATTTTTTTTACGAGTGTAAGACATATTTCATTGTAAAAACAAGGACTTTGAGTTACAATAAATTTTATCACTTTTATAACTAAACTATTCTTATAAACACATCACACTAACCTTATAATGCCTTGCAGTTATTTTGGAACGTAACACAAATGTTTTCAGTCCACCCTAGGACCTTCTTCAGGGGAGTTCTAGCAAAAACTTTTCTGGCGTGATTAGTGTTCCATTCAGTTTCCAATGCGTGGACCGAAAACATTTGTGTTACATTCCAAAATAACTGCAAGGCATTATAAGGCTAGTGTGATGTATTTATAATTAATGCTTTGTTTATTGGACAAATTTTATGAAAACTATTCTTACTTTAAAAATGGTCCTCATAAATATACAAAAACATTTGAACATAATAAACAAAAGTAACTGAATTTTAAAAATACAAAAACCTAAGTTATATTTTATATGTTCAATATAAATTATTCTTGCAGAGGTATGTTTCCCAAAACAATTTTCTGTTACTAGGAATAAAGCGAATATCTGAAGTTATGGCCATTTGTTTGATTTTTTTTAGCTTCTATGCACATGAAATCTTTCAATGCAAAACAATCGTTTCTTGCATTTCTTTAACTATAATACCCCGAATTAGACATTTTAAGAATATTTGAAAAATCATTAAAGTTGTATTTTGTTTTTGGCTTCTTTAGCAACAGCTCAAGTTGATGATGGAAGTCCAGTCCTGCTTAAAGAAAACTCATATCTAGAAATGTACTTAACATAATAATTGTATCTGATATTCATTAATGTAAAAATACCATATTTTTATTAAGTACAAATCAAATACGAAATTCTTACTGAGTACATCTGCAAAATTTTGAACAAAGAAAGATCACATTTTAACAATTTCCTACTTGTTTGACTTGATTTTTGGTAGTTTTTCCATAAAACTTAGTAAAACAAATATATAGAGGTTGCTTTTAACAAAACTCAAATTGTGACAATTTTTGCTGATACAAAGTATTTGTTACTGACAGCAGTACTGTCTGTAATCATCTGCTGGGACTTGTCATCTTGCTGCCACATTTGGACATTATACCTTGGCTTCCTGCAAAACATACTTCCAAAGCTCATAGACAATGTTTTCCTTGTCATGCACAGAGACATGCTGTTCCAGCACAATGATGCCCTGACACATTTCAGCATTGTGTGAGAACATCTGAACACCTTTAGAGCAGTGGACAGGAGGGGAAGAACCTGTTGTGTAGCTGGTGTAATTGCCCAACCTAATGACTTAACTTTTTCCTTTTATGACATGTCAAGAGGGACTTGACATCAGGAAAGATATGACTGTGCAAATAAATGATGCTTTATATCGAATCTGACACAAATCCAACTTGGTAGAAAAATATCTATCTCCTTCTGGAATCTTCAGAGAACAAGTTCCTGATCATAAACCATTTTCCTTGGTAAGATCTAACACTTCTCTGGACTAATTGCAGAGACAATGTTTAGCATGTTAACTGCTGCCTGTAATATGATACTTAGTTTATTTAGGGGCCTCGATGAAAAAATTGGATATTTAATATTTTATAATTTTAAATAAAGAGTGTTTATATAACAGTTAGTAGAGTGAAGTTCAGAAAAAAAAGAACATCTAACAGACATCGGATGTCCTATTTATTTTACAATCCGCTGTAATTACATCTGCTCATCTAATTAAATGTTTTTAAAGCATTTGCCAAGACATTTGCAGGTTAAAGTATATACATGTGTGATGCAGTAAACAATAAAGAGGGTTGAATTACATACTTTCTATATTTTCTTTTGCAATATTACTTACTTTAATAAAATAAAAGAATTAAACTAGTCTTTGATATGTTTCTTCTTCTTTTCTTAACTAATTACTATTAAAAAACACTATCAAATGTAAAGTTGTTTTTTATGAAAAAGACACCAATGACAATTTAGGGATCATCTAGACTATGGATAGGCAACCTTTTTCTATGTAAGGCCATATTTTGAAATTTTTGAAATGACGTGGGCTGCATACAGAGAAAAGAGAAGAAAAATGGGGTAAATCACAATTATTTATTCATATATAATTATAAATTAGCATAGGTATACTTAATTTAGCTTCTGGAACTGATGTAAATATAATATCAGAAATTATTTGGTTAAATATAAGTCACTGCTAGCTTTCAATTAGTTTCAATGTGTCTGTTAGCAGGTTTCTTGTTTTAATTTTTACTAAAATCATTGCGGGAAAAACTATTCACATACATAAATTGTAGAAAATAACGTTTGAATTTTTGCTGCATACTTCCTTAAGCTGGGAAATTGATATATTTGTTCATTTTATGCGATGAGGGCCACAAAAAATATTAATGTGGGCTGCAGGTTGCCATCCCTGGTCTAGACAGTGGTTGAAAAAAATTTCATTGCAGAGACAACATTTGTTGCTTGCCACAATTTAGACAGCATTTAGAAACCAGTAATTTGACCTACTTTCTAAAATTACTCGACAGAAGGTTTAGATGGCATTTTAATTTGAGTGAAGGTTGTCAAATTGTTTTGTTCTTGGTACGGTTTACATAAAAATGGATAGTGTTCCTTTGATAGATGTTATAAATGGGAGAACTCAACAAAATTATTCATTAATTAATTGCTTGGACCAGAAAAAAATATATAATTAAATACCTTAAATTTGTTTTAAATGTTCCAATTCTAATATTCAAATGAGTGAAGATTACAATTAAACCAGATGGTTTTATTTACAATTCAAGTATCATGTCGGTTATAAAATGTTAATGCATTTCAGATTTATTATTGTTAAAATCCTCCTTATCAGAATGTTCTGTTAAGCAAACAAGATAATTTTAATAATTACAAAAACTTTTTATAGAAATAAAAGTAAACAAGTAAAATGGCAAAACCATATTTGGGACAAGACTATGTCTCAAAAACGGAATCACTTTGATGCTCAAGGAAGGTCTCGTTCTCATTCTCCTATCTTTGATATCACTGCTTTTGGGCACAATCACTCAAACTTCGCTGGCCACAACCACAAGATCATCCATGATGCATCTTCGATGAAATTAACCTATCTAATTTCAAAATTTCTCTCCATTGCATGTCAGCCCGGGTTGAATTTTTGTCGATGCGTAACAAAAAGTTCCCGTTTTTGAAAAAAATAATCGTAGTTATTGTATCGTCCAAAATTCTTTTTTTTATTTTGCACAAACACTATACATTTTAACCCGATTATAAAGTCATCGAACGTAACAACAACCCTAATATAATGTCAAATTTTTATTGGCCCTACGATTTTACTATACTAGATAATGTTAAAAAAACCCACTTGTAACGACATAAAACCGTTTTTATGTCATACTTGAAGCACTCCCAAATTTACAAAATTAGATTACGAATTTTATTTAACATAGAAGAAACTATATGTTCTATAGGGTCAACTACAAGGTCCTAAAGTCAGAGTTCACTTCTTAGAATGACTGTGGATGGTACTTTCTCCCTACCTGACTTCAGTGGGGTGAGGTGGCAGTTTTGCCTGTTTGTAGAAGAGAGTCGCCATTTTGTATTTTATTTTGACTTGATTCTCGGTCCCTGACTACCTATGAGTCTGAATTTTTTTTATGCGCAAATGATTTGGACACCTAATACTCTGTGCCAAATATCAACTCTCGACATGTACTCCTTCATACATCTATGCTGGTAAGAACATCAGGCAGTACGATTTTATAAACAAGACATAGTCTTGTCAATAATAATAAAATATTTTAAATTATTAATCTCAACAATTATGAAGGAGAGTAATACAAGATTGGAATAATTCCTTAAAAATCTATTCCAAAGACAAATTCAGTATAAATTTTCTAAATCTGGATTTGTTCATATTTTACATCATATTGGCAATGAAATTAAACATTGAAATGGAAAAAAGATTGTCATTAACTGCCTAACTATGGTTGTTGACGACTTTAAGATTTTATGCTATCAGAAGCTTTCAGAAGATCACTGGCAACCTTATCAGAGTTTTTTCTGACATGGTTTAAATTGTCAGAATTTTTATAAACAAATATAAAAATTTTAAAATGTTATAAACTTTACATACAAATGAATAACTTGATTGGCTAAACAACTAAAAGAAGAGAGTAATGCCAAAGAAAGTAACAAACAATGTTTTGTTGAGATTTGTTTAGATGGCATTCAGAAATAGATGAACATCATCTTTGAAATGCACTTTAAACTGCAGTTCAGTCAGCCAACATCTAGATGCCATTTGGCTGTTAAATGTCATTTAACATAAACTCTGTCTCTGAAATCAACTATCTGGTTTGCTGGTGGGTGTCATGAAACACCCTGTAAATAGAGGTGTTTATATTGTATACTAATTTAATACTGATTTTAAAAATTTCCTTGATCACAACAAACATTTCATTATTTCTTTTTTATAAAATAAAAACATAATTTTAGAAATAATTGTTTTAAGTTCAAATTTTAAATTATAGTATGTTCTATTCTACTCAATATTAGATTCTGTTCTGTCTGAAGTTTAAAATCAAAATATTCTCTTCTCTTTTGTATTCTGTGATGTATGTTGACTTAATTTATACCAAAAATGTTTGCAGTTAAATAGTTATGTAACTTCTTATTTCTACGCCTCCATAATGCTGACACTCAGCGTGGATAAAACAGATTAACACTGTATTTGAATTCCATTGTAAGTTATTTTATTGTTTATCTATATATATAAATGGACATGTGTGTACCTATATAACCAAATATTCGTTACATCACTAGTGTGAATCGGTTACAATGGCAGCCTCCATAACGCTGACACTCAGCATGGATAAAACAGATTAATACTGTATTTGAATTTCACTGTAAGTTATTTTATTGTTTATTGACAAATAAAAGACTAATCTTCTATAAATACCTCTTTAAAGTTATAAGCCAGCATTTAAATATTTAATCTGCAATAGTGCATAACACGTCAATCACGGACATTCGAAATGCCAAAATGACAGCTGTCAGCACTTGTCTCGAATGTTTGAGAGGCCATGTCCAGGTCCGTACAATCCATAGCGTCAAAAAATTGGGATCTAAGCTTTTTGCACGGCTTAAGTGAATTCACAGATTACTGGTCTGCGGCTTAATGGCCATACACTGTATTTTAGATGCAATTTTTTGTTTTCAACTAAGTTTAGTCTTCATTGAGTACTTAGGTGTATTAAATTGATAACATTTCAGACATTGTTATAAATATTTTTATACATTTCGATTTTTTAACCAAATGTTCAAACCGTTTTAAATTCAAATTTGTTATTGCATATTGGTTCGATTAAAGAATGATTGTAAACGTTCCAGAAAATTGATCATATATATATCTTGATTATTTTCATATATATAAGATAACAAGAATGAATTAAACAGAATAACAAAATTTACTATTACAAAATCAATGCTTACTCTAGGAGGACCAATAATCATGCCTGTCCAATGAGTAAGAGTCATATCACTGTCATCTTCCAAGCCCCAGCTAATAGTACCATCTCCAACTCCTTTTTGTCCTTGTTCTAGTTCTTCTAAGAGACGAAAATTTCTTGGAATGACTACACCTAATAATAAAATTGAAAAAAACCTAAGACATCAAAAATGTAATAGTTAATAAATTAATAGTTGTGCTAGTAAAAAAATGTAAAGGAAAAAGTTATAAATAATAACAAAAACTATAAATGTTGTCACAAACTTATTCAGAAAAGTTTAATTTGTTATAAATGAACTTGGTTTATCATATGCTAAAACTTGTTTAAAATAGTATTTCAAATGTCAGTATTTATTTTTGATGTAATAGTACAATATTAAGCATATTGTTCCCACTTCTTTTCACCCTTAAAAATTAATTACATTTTAAGGACATTTAAGGAATCTAAAAAATTTTTAAGCACTTACATCCTGAAAGTCTATAATGAACCAATATATCCAAAGAATTAGTATAATGAATCTTTTTAACCATTTAAGATTAAATGTAAGTTATATTAAAGTTGGCAATGCATAGAATTTTATGTCATAATTATAGATTGAATAAATATAAATGAAGCTTGTAATACACCAGTATTTAAATAAGTAAAAGATCTCATACCCATAAAGTTTCATTTTTATTGTCAGGTTTGTGATTAATTTATTCATTATTTACAGAAGAAATTATTTCTTCAACAAAAAATGTAAAATTTTATTATTCAAAATATCCTTAAAGGTAGCAGTTAATGCCTAAATCTAAATCAATTTAATATTTTCTTCTATAATAAAACAGACGGTCCTTGACTTAAGTGAACCATTCCACAGTTCCGTACACAAGTGAAAGCTAAACATTTATACCTCATATCATACAAGGAGAGTTCACACCAGACGGGAAATATTTGGCTGAGATTTTATCATAAAACAGATTACATCAAAAGATAACCATATGCTTTTAAAATATGTGGCACTGGCCATACTTCCACTAGTATGTGACATTCCAATTTTACAAAATATGATAAATAATTCAGAAAAATTAACACACAACATTTTTATTTTAATCTTAAGTTTTTTAATAATGGAAACTGAAGAGAGAAAGAAATAAAAAGTAAAAAAGAATCGTACAAGACAACCCACAATTCATTAGTTTATTATTTATGACCATGTTTATTATACAATCTAACTTTGTTAATGGAGATCAAATTTCTGCTATTTAAATTAATGAATTTCATAAAATTCAAATGGCATTTTCTCATGAAAGTGTGGCCAGTGCCTTATGATCATCTTTCAATATGATCTACTTTGTGGCAAAATCTCACCAAATCTGTTATCAGGCATGACCTCTACTGTCAGTATAAATTAAAAAAATAAAACGGAATTACTAAAAACTCCTACATATTCTGCTATATAATATGCAGTAAATTATCTGAATGTCGATCAACTGAAACATCAATTAACTGAAAGCTTTCCAGTTGGCAAATTTAAATTTCTGCTAGTGCTCTAGCGCTGCAATCTTTGGCTATGTCTTGGGCTACTTCAATATTATTTTTGTTGGTGTGCGTGTTTTAGCTGGCAGCACTGGCATGACTATGAGAGGGTACTTAAGAACGTGCCAGGATTTGAATGAATTTCAACATTGGATAGGTTAATATGTTTTTTTGTACATAATAAGTTATCTGAAAAATTGATTTTCCAAACAATCCCAATCGATTCAGATAATCGATGCTCTATTGTAATTTTAAAAAATCTGAGAATTTGTTTTGCAGTATTTTTGAACAACAATTACACTATATATAATTGTGTAGTAACAGTAAAAGCTTTATATTTCTGACCTAGCATTATTACAAACATCTGATGTCAATCCAGCCAAAAGTATAGGAAAATTATAAGAAAACTCATTCACTGTACTCCACTACTATGAACTATTATTTCAGGTCCTGCAAGATCACTGTCCTCCTGTTATTATGGACGTTTTAGTTGCCATTTTATTTTGTTGCAATCATTGTTTTATTTATTTTGTCATAGTTGTTAGTTTACTTACTTTATTTGCAAAAAATAAATAAATATAAAATTCATTTTTTAATCATTTTTTGTTTAATCTACATCACATTATCTAGTTTCAGTTTTGTTTTACGATCAACCAGTTTTGTTCTATTTTGATTTCATTTTTTCTACAAGCGATGAGTCTTGAATTTGTATAAAGCAAAACATGGATCATAAAAGAAAATAAAAACTTTAGATTTACTGATAGATAGATATATTATTTTTAGAAGTTTAATAAAAAATCTGGCTTAAATATTTTACAACTATCAATATTGAGGACAAAAGTCCACAATACTGATAGAGTACTGAACAATTCAATATTACAGTAGAATCCTTTATATTCACAGTAACAGATCTGCTGAAACAAGATAAATATATATTGATTTGGCATCTGGACCTGGAGCAGTGGCGTAGCTAGCATGGGTGGCACACGGTGCAGATATTGTGGTGTCACCCCAAGAGTGAAAACTGTTAAAATTAATAAAAATCCAATAAATGTAAAGTATGATTTTATTTAATTAATACAAATAAGAGTCATTAATTATCAAGTTACAATATTATGATGATAATAGTACAGTTTTATTAAACATTCTTTCACGTTGATGTATGAAAGTGAATGTTGGGTATGGCAAAAGAAGAATGAGAGTAGAATTAATACACTCTCATATACATATTATGTACAAACACTTAAAAGTTCTTCTTTCTAGCTTTAACAGCTGAAAACTCAAAAATCACATCTTNGAAGAATTAGTTCTACTTCGTTTGGATGACATAGTAGAGTCTCTAGAGTCTCCGTAGATATAACAAACACAGAAATAAATAACGCAAAATAAATTGTAGCTATGTGTGGATTCCGCGTGACACATTTGAACATGTAAGCTGAACAATAGTGTGGGGGGAGTGAGTAATCAAGGGTTGCGTGGCGCTCAAACAAAAGACGAATCGACGAGATTTGAAAATTGCGTAACTCCGGGTTCGCGTAAGTCGGGGTATTACTGTATTTCTGCAGATAAGATAATAGTTGAATCATAAAAAAAGGCCCCCAAAATCTGGGGTCATCTTATAGAGCAGATACAAAAAAAAATTTAAATTTATATAAATTAAAACTATTATAAAAAACATGGACAAACCATAATTATTTACTAGCAGAGAGTAGGATATGTCTACATATTAGAATATCCCGTAGAAATGCGAAGAGAGTAGGGTATGTCTACATAATAGAATAGCCCAGTGTGAATGTTTGCAACAATTGCAAGGCAGAGCTACCAGATGCAAAAAAAAATAAAATTTGTTCATTCGAAAAATTACGAATAGGACAATTCTGTATATGCTATATAGTATTATTACTATTCAAATGATCGCTGGTTTAAACTAAATTTATAGGCCATTGATAGTTTGGGGTCATCTTATAGAACAGATATATGGGCAGCGTAATTGACAACACATCTGCACGGTAAGCAGGAGTTGTGGGTTCGAGTCCCCCTTTGGGCCGTTTCTTTTCTTTCAGTAATTCTAAATTATTATTTAAATTATTTAATTAATTTATAATTATTAAATTTATGAAGAGATGGTGCTTAACGCCTAACTCTAATGCCAAATTGTCTATTAAATTATTAGTATTATAGTCGTTTCTAGCCCAATAATATTCAGCTTTGGTTGATGGATAGCTTTAATATTAGAACAGATATATGCTAAAACTATAAAACTTTGACAAAAATTTATATTGTTGCAGATAAGACAATTATTGTCATCTTATCTGCAACATTACATTTTTATTTATATAGATAGATAGAAGATGATTTGCTTTAGTTCATCCTCACAGAAAAGCAAACTTAGGTTGTCATACTCGTAGCGCCATCTGTTGGACATAAAAGTCTTAACCCTAGATGATATCTTTTAATTTATAGGAATGTTTAACGGAATAATATACAGCCTATGTCCACCCTGATGTTCCATTCTAAATATTGGTGAAAGAATTTTTGAAATCGGATGAGTAGTTTCAGAGATTACCCCTACATACAAACATTACCTCTTTATAATATTAGTATAGATAGATAACTTGGTTAAAATGGCTTCAAGCCTAAGTGATTTATTGTTGAAAAACAAACATTGTGATGGTTTGTTTAAGTTTTTATTTTTTCACCCGTTTAGGGGTGACACCTGATGCAAACTGCCCCCACCACCCCCCTCTAGCTATGCCACTGACCTGGAGAAAAAATCCATAAACTTTAGACATTTTCTCCAGGTCCATTATTGAGATCTGTTCTTACATGATTCTACAGTATAGTAATGGACTTTGACATAACAAACAAGTCTGTAACAACAAGTAATCATAATAAAACATACTTTCATTATTACAACCAAATTCTTTGGTCCCATAGTAGTTCATTAATTCAAACTTTTACTGCATTTACAGTCTTAGGGTGCGACTATGCAGATGCAAGCGAACAAGAATATGTGGCAAGAAGAGACGAGATGCGATAAATATCAAAACCTGTCAGATATATGCGAGAACCAGGAATTCGCTCTAGCCAGCGTTATTTCTCGCTTCTTGTTTGTGCACAGTTTTCCTTTGCGAAAACTAAATCGCTCACAACCTCTCGCTCACTCTAAATTCGCGTCTACATAGTTGCACCCTTACTTCAGAGAGAAATTATTATATGATGAATTTTAATTATTTTTATAAAAATAAATTTTTCATCAAATTTATTACCGTATACAGTAATACCCCGAACTTACTATTATGATGATAATAGTACAGTTTTATTAAACATTCTTTCACGTTGATGTATGAAAGTGAATGTTGGGTATGGCAAAAGAAGAATGAGAGTAGAATTAATACACTCTCATATACATATTATGTACAAACACTTAAAAGTTCTTCTTTCTAGCTTTAACAGCTGAAAACTCAAAAATCACATCTTCATAATTTATATTTTGTGTTCACTCGTGTTCTAATGTTAATATGCTAAAATTGTTAAGTCTCATTTGAGCCATTTTTGCCCGCAAGTAATTTTTAATTAATTTTAGTGTGCTGAAACTCCTCTCACATGAAGCA